GTTGAACACCCTAATAGCTCAGCATTACTCAACCATCAGGACAAAACGGTTCTTTTCAGGACCACCATAAATTATTGTTGTTTAAGAATTAATTTTCATTGAACGTTCGTTCGCTTTGCTGCCAGCCACATCACCCCCATAGCTCTTTGATAACACTAGTTTACAAATAAAAGTAAAAAAATGACCTTTAATCTTTGCCCGATGATTCTTATGTAAAATCGTGCGCTGAATTCAAAAATGTAGTCAATAAAAATCTCAGTTGGATATTTTTTGAGATACAGCTAACAAATGAGAATTAACTTTAAAAAAGTTATCAAATATGCTGTAAACTAGTGTAATGTACCCAGAAACCTAAAGTTTGTGGTCAAATGCCTAACAGTATTGAAGTAGTAAGTGCAAAAAAAAAATCTTGCAATGACCGAATACAACATGACCTTGTCAATTAACCAAAAAACGTTCGAATAAAGAGAAGGTTTTCCCAGGACCCTAGGAAAAATCAAAAAAATCTCGAATGTATATGATGCATTGCGAATATCTCCCGATTGAAATTTTTTAGCAAGAAATTATACACAAGAATAAACCAAAAATTCCGAGCGTTTTGTGCACCAAAATGCGTAATTTTGTCATCGGAAAACGAGGCGTTTCCGTGATGGGACAAAGTGGTTTCCCTAACAGAGTCGCCGAATATTGATACCTAGCACGAAATCCTAGGTCAAATCTACGGTCGTGTTTTGGATACAACCTCTTACTTTTTCCCTGTGACCAGGATCAAGAAATTCGTTCCGTTTCATGTCTGAATATTCTTGATAATCTGTATGGAATTTTCTCAACCAATTGGTGAAAGTTAAGCTTGAAATGAAACTCTTTGGAATTCCCTTAGAATCCGCACTCTAAGGAATCTCTTCTACTTTTGCAAAAGTCTTATAATTTGTAATAAATGCAGAATTAACTTGGATTTTTTCGCAGAGAACATGTTCAGTGCGCCGAGTGTCTGCTCAGCGAACAGAAGTTCTTGAGTTTAATCCCAGGCCCGTCAATTTAAAATATTGATTCCTTCTGATAAATTGTCACTCCTTCCGTGACACTTATAATGGGGTCGTAGAGATCTCTGCATCTCACATAAAATAAGCATTCAACTAACAATCATTCCTATCCCCACGTGTTGCAAGGACATGGTCAGGTCACCCAACAAACAAATGGCTGAATAAGCCATTTTTAAGTTGAAGAAGCATATTTTTGTCTGAGTAAGCTTTTATTCAGCTTCCAATGTTTGTTGGGCAGTTCTTGATCATTATATCGCTTCTATCCCATCTTAGAGGAAGTGAGTCATCCCAAAGTGCTGCCTACGAAGTAACGGATGGACGTATGCAATAATCTAGGATTTAGTTAATGTAAATGTGAATTAGGTTGGAATTTTCCTCATGTCTCTAAAATTTTGTTTCGATTTCCCCTCAGAATTCGTCCAGCTTTCACATGTAATTATCCCCAGAATGCCCTTAGAATTCTGAACCGGGAATTAACATTTTGAGTATTTTTTAATAACTATAGATCAAGATAATTTATCAATTACTGGGCTATTGAATGCACGTCCATGAAGGAGGTATTTTCTAACATACATTTTCTGAAATATCAGGCTCCATAATCTTAAACAGTTGAGTTTAAAGTGACTATAACAAAAAAAAAAAAAAAAAAAAAAAGTTTCAGAATCGCATAAGTTTTTATTACTCCTAGGTTTTAAATTTCTGTTAAATTATTAATGTTTAAATATACTAAACTGATTCTTATGAACCCATCTCTGGATATCTCAGCAAATTTGTTAAGGATTTGTTTAGGATCATTCAAAGAAGTCTTCAAAATTACTTTTACTTTCTGGATTTTCCTCAATAGTTTTATGATTCTGTCTGGCATTCTCTAGAAAATTTTCTTCATAACAGTCTCGGAGTTCTCTGAATTCCTTCCAGAAAATTTATCTTCGTATTCTTAATAATGCTTGCGAAGATTTGTTTTATTTACCTTCGTAAGCTTGGAATATTCGTTGGAAATGTCTTGTATTCAAATTAGAATTGATAAATGTATTCTCCCATGATTTCCTTGGATTTCACCTCAGAGTTCTTCTCAACATGTCCTTGAGGTAAAAGTGCCTTAGAGCGTAAATAAAAATTTCAAAAATGTGTTTCTCTGATATATCATTTCAGATTGGAAAAGCTCTAGTCGTTTTGTGCGAAATAATAAAATAAAAATGTCGACCTAGCGACCTTAAGACGGTCTCTTGGAATTATCTAGAGACTCTCCTTAGTATTCCATTAGAAATCTATTTAGAGTTTCTTGGAGCACTACTCAAAGTTTCTTTGGAAATAGGTTTAAAATTTCTTACGGAAACTCCATGAAATTCCCTCAACATTCTTATACATTCTCTAAGGAATTCTCTTGAAACTGTCTTTAAACTAGCATAATTTTTTATAGAATTTTTCCTAGAACTCCTTTAGAATTATCCCTAGATTTCCTCTATAACTATCCTAGAAACTCCTTTAGTATATTCATCATAATTCTTTAGCCAATGCTTCATAGTGCCAGAATCCTAAAATTTTGAGTCGAAGAACCTTCTTTTGACGTAGAACTACGTCTTTGTTGACTATACTGGGGTGCAAATCAAAAAAATATGTGTGGTGAAATAGTGTTAGGTTTTGAACGCTTTTATCTTTGTCATTTATAGATGAAAATAAAATCCAAATACGCTAATCGATAGGATATTACATTACAAATCTGCTAAAATAAATATTTTTTTCAATTTTCCACAAAAAACATTTGAAAAATGTACAAATGATAATTTTATCTGTGTTTTCATGAAATAAAACGATTTTCCCTAACCCAGTCGTCATAATCGAGTACCATTTGGTTGTACATTGTTCTGCTTGAACCTGAAAAGTTATAAAACAGCACTGCTGTCATGCCTCTGCTCATCACCGCTTCGGACGGCGTTGCCCTTGGTCCTGCAGCTAGCAGGAGCAAGTCAGCGGATTAAGGTGGATCATGGCGTGACCACCTATCACAATGAGGAACTTGGAAAAGTTTTACATGCAAAACACCCTGTAACTTTTTTTCAGACTGATCAATTCCTTTGTTTACCATATTTAGGTATTTATATGAAACCGGGAAAAGCGGGGAAAACTCATGATTTTTTTTCTTAAATTCAGTGGCCACCCTGATTGCGAGTCTTCCAGATATTCCCTTGAATGCATCTCAGAATTCCCATGTAATTCTCTATTCAATTCGATTGAAATTCTCCTCGCTATTTAACTGAAATTCTCCCTAAAATTGTATCTGAAACTCCTTAGATTTGGAACTATCCTCTGAATTTCCATTGAATTATTTTCAGAATCCCGCTAAGAACTCCCTTAGAATTTTATATTTATAGATTATACTTATTCCAAGAATTCACTTGAAGTTCTTCTCAAAATTCGTTTAAAGTTATTCTCAACACTACCTTGGAATTACAGTCTCAGACCTCCCTTGGAAATCTCATATGGATTCCTTTGAAGCTATCGTTAAAATTCACCTGATATTCTCACAACCCTCTTGCTCTCTTTAGCATTCCTTACCAGTACTCTGAGAAATGCTCCCATAGATCCTTTGAAATTCTCCCCAGAATTAATCATATCGTCCGGTCATTTTCTACAGAGATGTCGCTGTTCCGCTTGTTGGAAGTGATAAAAATCCCCATATAGAATTTGAGAGAAGTGGGAATATGGGCAAATAAAGTTAACGACAACCTAAAGAAATTAGTCAGGGACTTTGTCGTTCAGTTTTCCCAGTAAATTATTGTTAAACAAGCTTCAATTAAATAAAAATGATTTTTCCCCATACAGTTTTACCTGCTTTACTACCGGTCGCCAGAGAGTCAAAAAAAATTTAATTTGAGAGAAAATTTGCTCTCACGACCTCAATATCTCAACATGCCATGTATTTTGATGACACTCGATTTGTGATTTCCCTTTCACGGATTACAAAATAGAGTACCTGACACTACAAAACATGTCTGCTACCTCTATAGATGCATTTACTTTAACATTTGAAGTCCCTCCTTTTTTTCATATTCTGCGCAAAAGATACTTTATGCCCGCCCCATTCATGAAAATCAGCGGGAAATTCTGTGAGGAGTGAGCTATTTTTTTGTGCAGAATGTGTAAAAAAGGAGGGACTTCAAATAATAATCTAAATGCATATATAGAGGTACCAGACATGTTTTGCATTACAGTATCTTCTGTGAACAATTATAGGAAAACAGATTGTGTGTAGTTTCCGATAGATGTCACCGCAAACAACCGCAGTGACATCTGATGGAACATGAATGCAGAAGCTTGACAAAATGATTAATTCCCTTGGAATTCCGTTGAAACTATCCTCTAAATTCCTGAGGAATGTTCCATAGAATGTCTTAGGAATTAACTCTGAATTAATACTTCTGAATTTCTTTGGAGTTCTCTTCAGAATTCCCACGAAATTCTACTCAAAGCTATTTGGGAATTCTTCTTAGAATTCCCGTACAATTCATCACACAATTCTCGTTAGTGTTCTCCACGAATCGAGACATCCACTAAACTACCTTAGAACCAAGCCTTAGATTTTACTTTAAGTTGTCCTTATCATTCCATTTCTCCTCAGAGCTATGTTGGAATCCTAGTCAGAACTCCTTTGAAAAATCTCCCTAGAATTCCCTTGGAACAATCTCTAGAATTCTCATTGAAAATTCAACTAATTGACCAACCATAAGTTTTTTTTATCGGAACTCCAAGAGCTTTGATAATTTTGAGTGGCCCAGAATCTTGATTTTGGATGATCCTGAAAATGTATTTCATTGCAGAATAAGAGGGGGGACTTATTCCCCCCATGTATGGCCAACATTGCATACCAATGTTCAATTTTGGCACCCTAGAAATAGTACCATCGTACCATGTCACAGCCTTTAACATCCTACCCATTTTCTCCACCATTTTTTCCAGGATTAAGTCGTCGTGGAGTGAATACTGTACCGCCATTGAGCTTGCCATCTACACTGGAGGACAATACGAGTAATTGGAAAGGAACACCTTCGGGCCCCTCCGATCCATCACAGCAACCCGGTGGACCCGGAGGTCCCGGTGGCCCTGGCGGCCCAGGCGCTGGACCCGGAGGTGGCGGCCCCGGCGGTCAAGGTGGAGGCGTCAACAACTTCGGTGGACCCGGGGGAGGAAACTTCGGCGGGCCCGTGTTTCCTGCTGCCGGTCAAGGTTCCCCCGCAGGAGGCTCCGCGGCAAACAACTATCAGAATGTCCCGCCTGGAACTGGATCGAATACCCCGCAGTATACGGCGTCCCCGGCGCCATCGGGATCCAGTACGCCGGGTCCCGGGCCACCACAGAACGTAGGTTCTGGATTCCCACCACCGAATGCTGGCGGAGGAGGTCCCGGCCCATATAATGGTCCCGGAGGCGGTCCAGTCGCTGGCGGCCCATTCGGTTCACCGTCCGCCAATGGTCCTCAGTTCGGTAGGCCGGGTAGTTCTGGCTCGGCCTTCGGCAGTGGGCCTCATTTTACGTCACCGGGTGGCCCCGGTAGCTTCGGTGGGCCACAGTTTGGTCTACCTCCTGGGTCGCCCTTCGGGCACGGGCCTAACGGTCCGCAGATGGGCGGACCGATGAATCAAGCACACATGATGAGCGGTCCGCAGCCGGTTGATCGAATGGATCAGAGGTAGGTTGGATAAGAAGAGGTGGTATTTTATAAGATTTAAATTTAGGTTTGCTTACAGTCAATTGAACGTTCCCAGAAGGCATGCATACTTCGGACAACCTGACTATAGAATATATGAATTAAATAAGCGATTACAGCAAAGAACTGAAGTAAGTTTTTGTTTGATGAATGTTTAGAATAAACCAGTAATTTGATGTTGTTGTGTCTTTGAAAGCAGGAAAGTGATAACTGTTGGTGGGATTCATTTGCGAATGAATTCTTTGAAGACGATGCAACCCTAACACTAACATTTTGTTTGGAAGATGGACCAAAAAGATATAGTAAGTATAGGATTTGTCGGGTTCTTTTGCTAGAACAGGAATTTAACTAACATCTTTTTTTTTCTCTCAAATTGCAGCTATAGGCCGCACACTAATTCCTCGTTATTTTCGAAGTATCTTCGAAGGCGGTGTAACGGAACTGTACTTTAACCTGAGACACTCGAAGGAGTCGTTTCACAATACATCTATTACGTTAGACTGCGACCAGTGCACGATGGAAACGCTGCACGGGAAGCCCATGTACACTAAGGTAATTATAGAAACATTGCACATTCGTACAGGCTACTCACACGCACATTACTCGTAGGTCATTACCGAGGGTCGTCTAATACTGGAATTCACCTTCGACGATCTGATGAGGATAAAGTCGTGGCATTTTGCGGTGCGGGCGCACCGAGAGCTGATACCCCGCTCGGTGGTTGCCATGCACACCCAACAGCCGGATCCGACCATGTTGGAGCAGCTGACGAAGAATATCACCCGGCAAGGAATTACCAACTCGACACTTAATTATCTGCGCGTGAGTGGTGATGTTTTATCGGCATTATTGGGAGGCAACTTTCGGCATCGATTCTACATCCGAAACGATTCTGTTCTTTTCGGATTGTGGTTTCGATGGGACTGGTATTCCGGTTGTTTTAATGAGATTTTCCTTGTTCTTGCACTTTCTGCCCATTTACAGCTCTGTGTGATATTAGAACCGATGCAGGAATTAATGTCTAGGCACAAAGCGTACGCGTTGAGTCCGCGAGACTGCCTGAAGACGACGCTTTTTCAAAAGTGGCAACGAATGGTGGCACCACCGGGTAAGTTGTGTGCAACGACCGTAGATTTTTAAAGTACTCAAAGAGCCTAACCGTATTCCAGACGCGCAACGTCCAGCCAACAAACGGAGGAAACGCAAGGGCTCCAGTTCCGGTGCCGGGGCGGGCAATACCGGTCCACCGGTGCCAAGCAAAAAACGATCTCCCGGACCGAACTTCTCGCTAGCGTCGCAGGTGGTAAGTGTCGTTTGCTATGAGAGCGTCGTGTCTTTGTCTTCGTTGCTTGGTCAATGGTTCAATTGCTAAACAACACTAGAAACGCGAGTTACCTATGTCTGATTTAGGAAGAAAAACACCAATAACGATTTTGATACCCAAGATTCCCCTAAATGCGTGATATATTATGGGAAAAAAGATATATAATGGTACCTATTGAGCTCCAAAACATCCCGGAAAACGTGTGACAAGCACTGTTTAAGGAGAAAAGTGCGATTACAGATTTTGAACTCCAAAGCGAAGACATCATATCAAGAAGACTGGCAACTTTGCCAGAATCCAAGCGACAGATACAATAGCGCTACGCTTGAGGGAAGGTGGAAGCAACGCATAGAAAAATTAGCAAATACACAAACCTTTCTTCTGATGATGTAATCTTTGCTATCAAATTCGTTCGAAGCATTTACCTTTGAGCAGCAGATGACGTGATTGTACCTGTCACATAGCGTTCGTTTGAGAAAATGGAAGAGTTGCCAGTCTTCTTGATTTGTTGTCTTCGTCCAAAGTCAGTCTCCCTACCTATTCGCCAAATTAGAAAGGTTGCAGCTATGTAAAAAAATGTTTGTTTTGTAATAATTTTCAATCGTGAGTTTGAGCAACGGTGAAACGGTAATTGCGTTCGTAACAGTCCACTACCAATCTAGATTGTCGGTTATGGACATTTACGACCTCGAACATCTGATTGAAATAAATCACTAGATAGATGCAAGTGACCCAAATTTCTACAGGTCACTTACCAAATCGAGAAATGAAGTTCATGCCGAAGCTGAAGATTCTTGTTGTGAATACACAGAAGAAGAGAATGTTACTTTCCAGATCATGTGAAGATCGCAAAGGAATAGTCAACTGATTCCTCGGGAACTGATTTTTCATTGCTTGCACTTTGAGGAGTAAGGCGTAACGTTGAACTTCATTACCAAAGAATAGGAGTCTCTACGTGACCAGAGGTATGGTCGTTTTTGGAATCTGGGACATTCAATTTAATTCCAGACGGCCGATAGATGGTGAATTGCAATCCAATCTGACTGACACAGATTCAAGATGGCGGCCTCCGGGCGCATCCGAACATTTACAGAATGGGCTCGACAAGTAGAAGCTGAAAATCGATATTCACGTTTGAATCCAATTTGGCCGTCCTATTATGAAGATGGTGGCCAAGACAGTGCATACTCATCTACACCTTCATTAGGTATCTACGAAATGCGGAATGCGGTTGATGAATAGAAGTTGATAATCGATGTCCACCGTAATTTTGATATCCACTAAGGGAGACACAGTGTCAAGATGGTGTCCTTCAAATACGGAATGGGCTGAAGGTGCAGAAACTAAAAAGCGCCTCGCCTCGATGCATATTCGCTATTTGAATGCCGCCATCTTGAAATTGGGTTCTCCATTTTAGATATCAAAATGAAGGCAGACATCGATTATCAACTTCTACAGCGTTAACCGCATTTCGTAGATACCCATATTGCATTGGTTTAGATGGGTATTTACTGTCCGAAGGCCGCCATCTTTATTTTATGGTGGGTCCAGCATCTTGGATTCCATATGTATCCCCGAGTATCTAAAGCTCTTCTTCGCTGCTACAACGCTCTCCGACCGACCGATCCTGGTCTTCACGGATTCGCACAGCGTCATACAAGTCCTAACATCCGAGGCCCCGACTCATCCCTGGGTGCAGGCGACGAAGAAGTCCGTGCCACCAAACACGGTATTCTGCTGGATCCCGGGGCACTGTGGAATACCAGGCAACTCTGAAGCTGACTTTCTGATTGGGGCAGAACCATCTGCCCCTCGCTATACCAACGAAGTACCGTTACACGATGTCAAGCGCTGGATCGTGAGCAAAGTACGGAAGCTTGGGACGCAGAGTGGGCCCAAAACCGCTCCCTCTTCATCAGACGGATCAAAGGGACGACGAGGAAATGGACAGAACAGTTGAACCAGCGGGATCAGAAGATTTTTTTTATATATTTATTTCGGAGACTTTCAGCCCTGGGCAAAATCAGAAGATAGCGTCGCGTTTGAGGACCGGTCACACCAAGATCTCGCATAATTTCGGTGGAACGCCGTTCCACAGGACTTGCGTCGGTTGTAGAACTCCAGCCTCAGTCGAGCAGATTATATGCGTATGCCCTCAGTATCAGGAATTGCGGGAATTCCACGGGCTTCCAAATAGCATACGCCACATGCTGGGTGATGGTCCGTCTGATCCCCTTGTATTTTAAAGTTTAGCCTTTTTTAATTCCTTTCGGCTGTTGGGACATCTCTGCCTGGTGGGGGCCCTCCCGGTTCCCCCGGTGTGGAGCTCTGTCTTATTCAGATTTTAATGTTATGTCTTTAATATGTTGTGTAAATGTACGATCGAGCCAGGAACCGATTTTCGGTTGAAGTAAACATTGTAAAAAATTACTCTGTTGGGGGTCCTCCTTCTGAGGACGAGATGAACTAGCCTATGGCTAAAAATCTCAAAAATAAAGTTAAAAATAGAGTATCTATAGCCGATACAGAGTTCCAAAATAATATATGCACGATTAGCTACGCATTTGGAGAGGCCCTAAAAACTGTCAAGCTCTCTCTCTCTCTCTCATGCATCAAATCTCTGAGCACGCCTAAGTAAGTAAAGCCGTTGGTCCCCGGTCTATGAGTTGATGGGTCGATAGGTAGGATCCAGGTGTTGGAGCTGCCTCCCTTGCATCGGTAGCATTGGTACCCTTCTTCTTATTCGCATTTCAAGCTTATTGCTTAGTAAATATTAGCTTATTGCGTGCTCTCAACTTAGTGTTCTAAATGCACTTCCACAGTTATTAATTGAGAGCTTTCGATGCCAATACCAATGCATGAATTCGTATTTTGTGTGGCCCAAGGAAGTCGAGAAAATTTCCAACCCGAAATATTCCCTCGACCGGACCGGGAATCGAACCCGCCCCGCCTCCGGCTTGGCAATACCGTGCCTTTACTCACAAAACTATGAAGCTCCTACAGCATTGGTACCCATAAGATCGACGAACAAAGAGATCAAGGAAGAAAAACAGTTAAAAAATTGGTAATCTGAAGGTCGATATTTCGATGATAATTTGAAACACCCTAGTGTGCTATGACGGATATAAACATACATGTTTAGAGTGCAAATCAAAATTCCAAGGGTTTCCGTTCTTCTCAAAGTCGAACAATGAAACGGATAATCAAATTTTTTTCAGTTTTTGAGTGCTCACATTCTAGGGTTTCATAGCAATTTGGGAATGCTGATGACATAGACAAATGCACGGTTGGATTTGAGTTCACTCACTCGAGAAAAAGTGACACAAGCTACGGGCAATGTTTACTAATCATGAACACCAAATGTTCATTATTCATTATTCATGAACATTAGCAACTTTTTCTCCAGTGAGTGAACTCAAATTCATCCGTACACTCGTCTATAGACACATTAGAGACAAGGTTTTAACGTTTGGCTCGAACATGAAACATGCAAATATTGCATCATTCATCAACATTTAGTGAACATTTAAACTAATCGATTCTTTTCCCTCCCCAACGCAGGACGTAATGGTGGTGGGTGAACCCTCGCTGATGGGCGGCGAGTTCGGTGACGAAGATGAACGGCTCATTACCAGGCTAGAAAATACGCAGTACGATGCGGCCAATTCCCTAGAGCACGACAGTCACAATGCATTCGGTGGTCACAACGATTCGCCGATGACGGGTCCGGGCGGTCCCGGTGGTCCTAACTCGTGGCAGGTGGATCGGGGAGGTGGTCCGGGGGCACCGAACAACAGCGGGCCGGCCAGTCAAGATTCGGACAAGAAGAGCCCATCGGTGTCCCAGTGACAGTTGTAATATTATAGGGTGAAGGAAGAAAACCCGTAGAGCAGAGCGGAGCACCCTAGCTGCCTAGAGCTCTACTAACCCGCCCCTGGTACCGGCACTAACCGCGCATACATACCAAGAATTAGACGCAACAATCCAGAATCAAACCGAAGCAACAGCAGCAGCAACAACAACAACAACAACAACAACAACAACAACCGAATGCTCATCATTCATCACGATTTCCTGCCGGGGCCCTAATCCGGTATCCGGATTATCCTGGCGACGTGAGACGAGAGCATCGCACCATCCGTCGGATTCGTTGGGAACCGCGAATCCGGAATCATTCTTTTTCGTTCTCCTGCGGCTAACAAGATTTCCTAGAGTATAGAAAGCGGCGACGTATGGACGTAACAGCAGACACGAGATCGCAAAATACTTACAAGTAAATTCTCTGATAATTCGTATACCGTGCAACAGGAAAACAAAACTCCATAACTGCTGATGGTTAGGTGTGTTCGACCTATTCAAATTCGAAGTTTGGAAACCAAAATTATTGATGGCGCCCGCCTTCGACGCCAACGTGTGAGGGCTTTTGAACGTGAACAGACGAATATCGATCGTGTTTTTTTTAACTTGGTTTAGGAGATTTTTTAGCCACGGGCTAGTTCATCTCCGACGAATATCTATCGGACATTTGTACTAAGCCGGGGAAGTCAACATGATTTCAGATCGTAGGAGCTTTCTCAGCTTGGCGATGGCTTGAAACATGCAGCCAAATTCGAGCCATGCTGTGCATCATCACCTAAGCAATAAACTTTGGGCTGATTCACAACGATGAGACACTGCCGTATTGGTCAAAGGCGATTGGAATTCATGGCGGCAGAAAAACCAACGGAATTAGCATAGACGCGTAGCTACCGTTTGAGACTAACCGAGCAACATTGCAAGTTTTGTTGAGGTTTTAAAGCATTATTTAACCCTAAATCATGATCTACAAGAGTATGATCAAACCTGGGTCTGGCGACGGCCAATCGCAGTCAGCTTCAGAATGCTGCGGTGGATTACAAATTGTGAAATAACACAAATCAATGCGTGACTCTCGTGATTTGTGAAAAACTAACGGTTGGCTTTTCACTCAAAATTCAATGCTTTTCATTTATTTCCTTCTCACAACAGCAACAAAAACTGTTTCGATTTGGACAGTTCAAATTGACTCGAAAATCATTACATCTCCACCCCCAGGATAAGACCAAAGTTGTCAATTTGGGTAGTTGGGTAGTTACGATGCGTTGGGTACCTGCTATTAATGGGAGCTAAATCGTACCAATTTCGGTTTCATTTCCCTATTGGCATGGCCAATTGCGCCTGGAGCAACGAATGCCAGTGGCGCAAATTTACTGGGAAGTTGAACACTTGCCTGTGGTGGTGGCGTTTGTACGTCGGTTGGCTGCTTTTGGACGTTGTCTGCAATCCGACGAATGATTTCATCGTTCTTGATGCACTGCCACCGGAACTGGTAGAACTCATCCAGGCGAGTCTTGCAGATAGTGCACAACGAGGAGGGAGTGCCATTCAGGGGCGATATCTGGAATGGAAGATACATGGCCAACAAATCAGCGACTGAATTCAATTGAATCAGAGCATTTTCTTTCCATACGAAATCTACTCATATTTGGGAAAAACCTATGAATTACTGCAGGTTTTAACTATGAGTAAATTTCGTATGGAAAGAAAATGCTCTGAGTCAATTGAATTCAGTCGCTGAGTTGTTCTTGTTGGCCGTGTAGAGGATTGGTCTTAGAGATTGCTTAATTTTTCGATGTAGGCACGTGGTTCGTTGTTTTTTTTAAGGACTGGCACCTAATTGAAGCGAAATGGATGGGAGAGTGGAAATGCCAACTCCCTGTCTTTAACATTTCGTGAATAAAGGGTGGGCTCTTCTCCCCACTCATTGGGGCATCCTCCTATTGGATGGCCTGTTTTTTGACCGGTTGTATGATCCTGTTGTTGGAAGGAGATTCTCGTTTATCCCGTGGATGCAGGTGGGCAATGTTTCCCACGGATTGACCCAAACCGTGTTTGGCCCTTCATGCAGTTGAGTACAATTAGAGGTTATTAAACTTGATCAAGTCGAACAGCGAGGATTGTTGTCCTACTACAGTGAGTGGTTCCACTGGTAATCACTTTTCAGGGTGGCTGCTGATGCTTCCACTTTCGGGAAACCGAGAAACTCCTCATCCGAATCCACAAGTTCTCCCGACCGCTTCACCCGTTGTATCGGCACTTGAATCTGTGTACTGATCATCCGGGGACTAATTATCCTCAGTTGATTTCGATGAGCGTTGCAATTGTACTTTGGTCTGTCGTTACCGTTGTTCCACCCAACTGTGACGATCACTCTTCAAATGTTATTATTCTCTCCTGCCATAATGCTCGATACTCACTCTCAGCATGCTTTCGGGATATTGTTTTCCAGATGTATGGCGATTTGCTCTGATGATCTCTTCTCACGGCTTCTGAACACACTTGCTCCAGACTCACCCTGACCACGTAACAAAGGCTTTACTAGCGTATCGTAATACCTGCTGCCACTTATCTTTTCTTCAATCTTTATTTTCTTTGTCAATTTAGTACTCATCAAATCTAATAAGATTGGCTGTTTTTTTTTTTAATCTGCATTAGAATTTGGCTTTTACAATTTCTTAAGCCCACCAGCAATGGCTGCTTTTGTTAAAACAAGTTTCAATGGTTCGAAGAAACGACGGATATCAGCGCTGGGACCACTAGTCCAGATCCACATCATTAACCCTCCGAACTGAATCGAAGGAATCTTCTGGAGATACTCCTGCAGTCAGAACAACGCAATCCTTCTACCGAGCACTGATAGAACAGATTCTAGCCTTTGAGGAGTCATGTTCAGGGAACTTGAATAGAAACATATATAGGATCATGCTCCCATTGAGTTTTGCACTACGGGAAATCCGTCGTCAATGTGTTACCTCCCAGGCTGCTCCGAAAGGAATTCTCTTAAGAAGGATATTCGCAGAGCACGGGGTTGCTCATTCTTGAACACTGTTACGCAACTTCAACCCAAGTCACTTACCTTGGCAAGAGTCACACAATTGTCGGTGGACAGTTCCTGAACGAATGGCAACCAATCAATTTTTAGAAACTAGGTGGAGATGATCCAAAGTAGCGGTTCTAAATGCGGACCAAAAAGAGCGAGGCTTGTACACCCCTTTTTGGGCACGGGAATCGAGAACAAAGAAAGAAGGAACTTAGGGAGTGCTTCTTGAAGAAATAGTAGCCGACAAATAGGTTTACTTGCTAGATTTATTCGGCCTACAATGGGCTCTAGAGAGAGTTTTTAGAAAGACATTCGGGTGTACTTGTGCTTGTTTTTGATGACGATGAACTACGTTGGCATGCATAGACGATGGGCGGGCCTTCCAAGGGCAACTTTTTGTTGTCCGGCCGATCCGGGGTCGGTTCAATCCGTGGTGGTGAACGGGTGATGCATACCGTGGGACTAGCAGACCAGTTTGACACCAGCTGGCAGGGGGCGTCTCGTCTGACCGCCGGGGAGCCTAGCCTGGTCCCAAAACACCGTCTTCGTTGCTTCCACTGGTTGAATCTGGGCACGTGGTACGATGGCTTGCTGAAAATGGCCGAGCGGTGCGGTGCGGTGGAGATCCACACCAAGATGGCGTCCAGGATGGCCGCAAGCTTCGTCTGAACACCAATGTGCTTCGGGCGTCAATCCCTTGATCGATGGATGGAACTTCCGCAATTCTGGCCTTTCTGTGGAGAAATATCCTCCAGGATTCGATCCCGAAGGGGGGGGGGGGGGGGGGGTGTTGAGACAAGGCCCGACTATGGACCTTTTCTTACAAGTTCGCACTTTTCGTACCGTGGACGGCTTAAACGTTCGGACGATAATCTGTTTTTAACACTGTTCACCAAACAGCCTACTTTTAAAGTGTTCGAGACTTTCTACACACTCACAAGAAGCACTTCACTATCGTCGGGCTTACAAAGCTTTAATTGATTAATTTTACAACCGACGCGCACTTCCACACTTCCACTCTTTTCAGTGGTCACCGCAAGACAAAAAAAACTACGGTTACTATCGATCATCTTATATTTTTGTTGCTTCTATAATTCGAAGACCCGAAGTTTGTAAATCAGACTTCGTAACAGTTGGCAACCATGCCGATCAGGACGTCGATTAATACTAAACCGGTTGAAGTCCGGGCTCAAAACGCTGTCAATAAACGACAAAGCTGGATCAACAATAGAAAAGGGTCCATCAGCATTTCCCACCTAACAATTTTAGCTGCAGATTAGCTTATACAGCCACAAATTGGCTTATACAACTAATATTTGCCTGTATAAGCTAGTCTGCAGCTAAAATTGTTTGTTGGGTTGTAAACAAACCGTTCCAAAGCCCTTTACTCACAAAGCGAAGACCACCCACACAAACCAACACCATCATCGTGTAGGTAGAAGTTTCTCCTATCCGATGATGGTGTTGGTTTGCGTGGGTGGCCTTCGCTTTGTGAGTAAAGGGCTTTGGAACGGTTTGTTTACAAATGCTGATGGGCCCTTTTTTATTGTTGATCCAGAAAGGTGAAATGCGTAACGGGTGCTTTTTGAATGGACAGTTTGGCTCTGCGCATCACAATGACAGCTAGGAGTTTCGGCCACCAGTAAGGCTGTCCAATATTTTAATGGGATTTGGGAATTGGTCTTAGGTGCTCACTGGCAGGAGGGCCAATTGGGATGAGGAAACTTGTGGAGGAGCCTACAAGTAACTATTTTGAACCACTGGTTATAAATGAGAAGGAAGCTATTGGACAGTCACATTCATGCAATACATCCTCCATCCGTTGGTCTAGTATCTTTTTGTATTCAGGCCGGAGGGCACCATGAATTCGGGTTGGGGACATCAATACCAAATTTAGCCAAAACTTGGCAGCGTCCGTGACCTGGCAGAAAGACATTGCGCTCCCTTTAACTTTGCCCCATGCTCTGCTGAAGACTTGACCAAATGTAATCCATTCCGTGACCAGGTTTCTCTCCAAATTTTCCAGAAAGTCATACAGGACGGCTGTGGCCTGAGCGACTGTCACATACTTGGTCCGGATCTTCTCTATAATAGTACCGTACAATCCCGTACCATCACGAGTTACATGTCGCAGGAGTACCTTTGGTTTCCCCTTCGCCGCAATGTACTCAGAGACGTAAGAAGGCTCGATTCTTGTACTTGGGAGAGGGGCCGGAACCGCCCAATTTTTTGACGTAGGACTACGTCTGTACACTGTGAAAACCGAAAATGGAACATGTAACAAAATTATGAAAGATTTTGAACGTTAATAACTCAGCTGCCCCTGGACCAATTTCAATAATTGTATCACCAATCGATCAGAAATATTCCTACGCATCTGTTAAAATTAAGACTTTATCATTTTTCAAAATGTCACTACAGAAAATTGCACGAATGTGCAACAGTTACCAAATGACATTTATTGTATAAGACCGGAATCATTTGTTATATAAGACCACGTAGTTCTACGTCACCATTGCGTACAACCCCATAGGGCTGCCCCTTGTAGTTTTTTCTACTTGTGATGGATCTCGTATCAATCGTATGGTTCCTCGAGCCCAGTTAAGAAGGTAGCTTCCGATTGTTGCCGCACGGGGTGTTGGGATGTTTGCTGCCATCTGTATATTCTTCTCTAGAATCTGACGAGGAACGGCATGTCCGTGCGCTTGAATATATCGCCACCAATGACGAGGGGCGCTCCCGGAAGGTTCAGGAATCTCAGCCCCCGTTGTTAGATTCTACATCTGATTCTGGTTCGTTATCCACGATCTTCACCCTCTTCAGAACCTTGACTTCACCTTTTTCGTCGGAAGTGCATGCTCCAATTTCCGCGGACGTGCTTCGCATAGGCTACAATCTGAGCGTTGGTGTGGCCCATTATTCCCCCCGTAAAGTGAATCAGATATTGGAGGGAAGTGTTAACGGATGCGGAATACGGACTCTTTAATGCAAACTTCATACTGGCAATGTATGGCAAATATGAATCTAATACATCCAATTATTCCCCCTTTTTGAAGATACCGCGGTTATCAGCGCTGGGACCACTAGTCCAGATCCACATCAGTAACTCTCCGAACTGAATCGAGTTAATCCTCCGGAGGTACTCCACTCCGCTCAGAGCAGTGCAATCCTTGTACCGAGCACTGATAGAACAGATTCTAGCCTTTGAGGAGTCATGTTCAAGTAATAGTCATGTATAGAAACATATCTATAGCGGCAATCACCTTGCAATACTGAGGATCCTGCTCCAGTTGAGTTTTGGTCGACAGGAAATCCGTCGTCCGACAGTCATATTCATGCAATACATCCTCCATCCGTTGGACTAAGATCGAAGACCGGAGGGCACCATGAAGTCGGTAGAGGAACATCAAAACCAAATTTAGCCAAAACTTGCCAGCACTTTCTGTCAGAATGACATCTCCTTCAGCAACGCTCTTTTTAACTTTGCCCCCTGCTCTGCTGAAGACTTGACCAAATGTAATCCATTCCGTGACCAGGTTTCCCTCCAAATATTCTTGAAAGTCATACAGGATCGCTGTGGCCAGAGCGACTGCCACATACTTGGTCC